CAAGGAAAACCTGGCACTTCAGAGTCTACAAACTTTACGCTCCAGTCTTCAACAAACGGAACAAACTTTACCGATGTTGACTTAGGGCAGGTAAATAATCGAATAAACAATTAAATAATTGGTGTTGCCGTCCTGAACTGCTTAACGTCCCTGATCTTTTTCATTGCTATTTTTGAAAGCCTCGAAGCTACTGTTGGTATTATTTACCTTTGTCACCATTGTCTTAGCAGCCTACAAACTTGAATTCTCGTGTGTCCTGCTATTGGGCGTATATTTAGAATAGATTGTTACTAATGAGTATTCGGTACTGAAAGGGTTTCCATTTAAGTAAAAGACGTTAAAGAGAAGCATTAGTTTGACTTTCCCTTAATCCTGTTTCTTTTTTATGAATTTTGAAATATTAACATTTTGGATATCTCTCCAGATCTTTTACGCCTCCTCAGCTGGTGGTGACGTCACTACATTTCATACTCTGAACACATCCGTAACTGCGACACATCTGCGGTTTAAGCCAGTTTCCAACGACATATGCCTAAGAGTAGAGATATACGCTATTCCAGGTACGTTTCAAAGCATGATAATCTGATCATAATGTATTTTATATAACGAGAGTGTGATAAAATAGAAACGGAAACAGTCTGAAGCGCGAGTGATCAAACGAATGATTACATTTTTGCTTCTGATTAACCGAAAAATACATGTGACACACGTTTTCAAGACTGATCGCAGAGTGTAATATAACAAAGCCAACGCAATCCAACATAAGTCTTGACACCCAATATGCCATTTCCGAGTTACCTTTGGCCTTTTTTAAAACGAGTCCTGGTGCTCATCCTTTCATGTGATGATAAATTTTCATTCACATGTAAATTAAACTCATTTCCACAAGAATGGTTTGGCACCAGGCCTCGTTTTGAATAAGAGGCCAAAAGTAATTTGAAAATGGCCTATAGGATATAACTATGAGACCAACTACAGCAAAGTGGCTCAGGGGGGGGAAAGGGAGGAGAGGGCCTGAACTTGAATCATGGATTATCTACTAAAATATGGCGGTCCGATCACTCCGAGTCATTACTTTTCGAGTTTCGGAATTGTCGAAAATATTGAATTACGAGATAATATTTAAAAATGAAGCATGAATTTCGAAACAAAATTGCTAATGGCTCAAGAATCGTTGAGCCGAAGGAAAAAAGGCAGAAATCATGACTCTGTAAGATCAAGTGACTCCTCGTCCCTCTCCTCCCTCGCCATTTACCAACGATGATGACATTCGTTTTAATTGTTTTGTTGCTTCCTTTTATCTTAGAGAGTGTTACTGTCACTTGCTAGGCGTTCAACATCTTGGCAGTGATTCAAAAAACATTATTTACTGATACTGATGCTGCTTTTGCCGCGAATAAGCTTACTCTCAATGACAGCGACTGTCGAGCCACTAATGGTTCAAATACTTATGACTTTAACATTACTCTTGGGACATGCCTGACGGCACTTACTATCTCAAACGATGATAAATTCATATTTTACCACAACGTCGTCTTCGATAATAAAGCAGAACCGGACAGTGAAAATTCAACATCATTTGCACTTATTCAAGTAAATAAATTGAACTGTAATTTTTTTGGTCCCTAGTAGGTTATCATAAATCGGTAACATATTTATTTATTTATTTATTTATTTATAAGCAATGTTTATACTGGCAGGTCCAATTCAGCTAAGGCTGGTTTAAATGGCGGCCTGTGTACTAAATAGTTTAGTTAGAAATACTTAAATTATATATAACTGAAATAAATAGGTAATTAACTGAATGAATAACTAAATGAAAAATGACTCAGAAACGAATAATATATCAACTATATAAGTCATAAGCTACTAGATGTGGGGCTGCAAAAATGCAGTTTAAGACCCTTCTTAAATTTCAAAAGAGAATTTTCTATCCTAAGCTTGTAGGGTAAATCATTCTACGCTTTGGCCCCGTTGTAGCGAAAAGAACTTTGATATTTAGTGGTCTTTGCTACAGGCAAACGGAGAAGGTCCTTGTTCCGTGTGTTATATGCGTGGAAGTCGCGCGAATAGTGAAAATCGTTAAACAGGTAGGCAGGTGCAAGGCCATTTAGGCACTTGAATATCTGAACATATAAGGCCTTTTTGAAGCCGATCGGCAGAAATTGCGAAGCGTTCCTTGTTAGGTTATGTAAAGGTAGTAATGGGTTTCATAGGCTGGAAGATCGGCAGATCTGGCCATGAAAAGAAAATAATAGACAGGGACAGCGTACTGTAAAGCTTTAGACAATGAAAACAAACACACTCAGACACACTTGCACTTAGTCCATTTAATTCACGGGAAGTTTAGAAGTAACAAGAATCCGAATAGGGTCTGTTAGGCGGATCCACGAACGAAAAATGGATGATTTCCATGGCCCGACCTTTTAATTCACAAGCTTAACAACGCAGAATTTCGACTTGCACTGTTATCAGCATACTATTCGGCGTTATCTAACAAGAATGTCAGATGATGTTATAGAAATAAAAGGCATCATTCCCTGTATATTCCGTAATTTCTTACGCTCATTACTGATCCGCGGAAGACTAGAATTATGGCCCAGCTCAACAAATTAAAAAAAAAATTAGCTACTAACATTATCACTTACAGTTGTTTAATTGTTGCATTTTTTTACAGGTGATTGTGATCCTAACCCTTGCCAGAACGGCGGAAATTGTTCACTGGATGGAGATACCTATACCTGTGCCTGTGCCACTGGCTACAATGGCACAAACTGCACAATAAGTAAGACGGTTTCTCAATAGAGTTGTGGCTGATTAAAGCGTAAAAAGCAGCAATGATATCTTGAATTCGATCCTGGTATAGTGCATTTCGTGCCTTTCGCTTTTATCCCTTTTCAAGGAAATCTTAGCTGTGCACCATTTTTAAATTTTTTTTCATTTTATAGACATCAATGATTGTTATCCTAATCCTTGCGAAAACGTTTGAAATTGTACTGATGCAGTAAATGACTATAATTGTACCTGTATGGCTGGCTACGATGGCAAGAACTGTTCAGAAGGCAAGATAGATTATTTCCCACAAATCACACGCTACAGTAGATTATTGGTCAGCTTTAATGTAACGAATACGATTACTAATCATATGGTTATATCGCTTTGTTTCTCCAAAGTAGACGACGTAATCTCATCCAAAAAAATATTACAAATTATGACTCTTTCTGTCGACGTTACCTCCATTTTGCATTTATACTCTTCGTTGGATTGTAAAATTTACATGTGTGCAATAATTTGTTTCTTCTCAGATGTCGATGATTGTTATTCTAATCCTTGCGAAAACAGAGGAAATTGTACTGACGCAGTATATGACTATAATTGTACCTGTATGGTTGGATACAAAGGCAAGAACTGTTCAGAAAGTATGCTAAAACAGTTCCTACAAAATCCACTTAGTTGTAGGTTATTGGTGAACTTAGATGTACAGAATATGATTACATAGTGGTAAGGTTACATTCGTTTTATTTCTCCAAAGCAGGAGACGTAATCTCGTCCGAAAAAGAGTTATACATCTTTTTTCTTTCTGTCGATGTTAGTGACGTTTAGCATTTATGTACTTACTTCAAATTTTAAAATTTTACCTGGGCACTATAATTTGTTTCTTTTCAGATATCGATGATTGTTATCATAATCCTTGCGAAAACGAGGGAAATTGTACAGATACAGTAAATGACTATAATTGTACCTGCATGGCCGGCTACTATGGGAAGAACTGTTCGCAAAGTATGGTAGACTATTTCTGCTATCTCCTAATGTAGACACAATAAACTAGAACAAAGCTGAAATCCGAGTGAGATCTTTTAGGTGGATCCACAAATTAAAAATGGATGATTTCCATGACCCCCNAATGGCACAAACTGCACAATAAGTAAGACGGTTTCTCAATAGAGTTGTGGCTGATTAAAGCGTAAAAAGCAGCAATGATATCTTGAATTCGATCCTGGTATAGTGCATTTCGTGCCTTTCGCTTTTATCCCTTTTCAAGGAAATCTTAGCTGTGCACCATTTTTAAATTTTTTTTCATTTTATAGACATCAATGATTGTTATCCTAATCCTTGCGAAAACGTTTGAAATTGTACTGATGCAGTAAATGACTATAATTGTACCTGTATGGCTGGCTACGATGGCAAGAACTGTTCAGAAGGCAAGATAGATTATTTCCCACAAATCACACGCTACAGTAGATTATTGGTCAGCTTTAATGTAACGAATACGATTACTAATCATATGGTTATATCGCTTTGTTTCTCCAAAGTAGACGACGTAATCTCATCCAAAAAAATATTACAAATTATGACTCTTTCTGTCGACGTTACCTCCATTTTGCATTTATACTCTTCGTTGGATTGTAAAATTTACATGTGTGCAATAATTTGTTTCTTCTCAGATGTCGATGATTGTTATTCTAATCCTTGCGAAAACAGAGGAAATTGTACTGACGCAGTATATGACTATAATTGTACCTGTATGGTTGGATACAAAGGCAAGAACTGTTCAGAAAGTATGCTAAAACAGTTCCTACAAAATCCACTTAGTTGTAGGTTATTGGTGAACTTAGATGTACAGAATATGATTACATAGTGGTAAGGTTACATTCGTTTTATTTCTCCAAAGCAGGAGACGTAATCTCGTCCGAAAAAGAGTTATACATCTTTTTTCTTTCTGTCGATGTTAGTGACGTTTAGCATTTATGTACTTACTTCAAATTTTAAAATTTTACCTGGGCACTATAATTTGTTTCTTTTCAGATATCGATGATTGTTATCATAATCCTTGCGAAAACGAGGGAAATTGTACAGATACAGTAAATGACTATAATTGTACCTGCATGGCCGGCTACTATGGGAAGAACTGTTCGCAAAGTATGGTAGACTATTTCTGCTATCTCCTAATGTAGGCACAATAGACTAAAACAGAGCTGGAATCCAAGTGAGATCTTTTACGTGACCCGCCCTTTTAATTTACAGCCTTAACAACGCAGTATTTCGACTATCACTGTTATCAGCGTCCTCATCGGCGGGATCTGACAAGAATGTTAGATAATGTCAAATAGATAATAAGAATCAGTATTTATTGTTAATCTTTGTGCATTCCGTCATTTCAAGCACGCTTGCTACTGCTCCGCGGAAGACTAGAATCAGGCCTAGGTCAACAGATTGAAATAAAAAGAATAGCTACTCAACATTATTACTTACAGTTGTTTAATCGTTGCATTCTTTACAGGTTATTGTGATCATAAACCTTGCCGGAATGGCGGGACTTGTTTACCAAAGGATGATACCTATACCTGTGCCTGTGCCGCTGGCTACAATGGTACAAACTGCACAATGAGTAAGGCGGTTTCTCGTTAGAGTTGTGGCTGATTAAAATGTAAAAGGCAGCAATGATATCTTGAACTCGATCCTAGTACACGTGCATTCCGAGAACTTCGTTACTATGCCTTTCTAAACAAAACTTAGCTGTGCACCATTATTTTTTTATTTTATAGACATCGATGATTGTTATCCTAATCCTTGCAAAAACGATGGAAACTGCACTGATGCAACAAATGACTATAACTGTACCTGTATGGCTGGCTACGATGGCAAGAACTGTTCAGAAAGTATGCTAGATAATTTCCTACAAATTCCACGTAGCAGTAGATTACTAGTTAGCTTTAACGTACACAATACTTTTATGTATTCGTTAGATCTTTTGCTTTCTCCAAAGTAGGAGACGTTTCTTATCTCAAACCAAGTCAGAAATGGTTTTCATTCTGAGGATGTAAACTAAGTTTTACACTTATGCACTTACTTTAAATTTTCAATTTTCCATGTGCGCTATAATTTGTTTCTTTTCAGATATCGATGATTGTTCTCATAATCCTTGCAAAAACGATGGAAATTGTACTGATGCAGTAAATGACTATAATTGTACCTGTATGACTGGCTACTATGGGAAAAACTGTTCGCAAAGTATGGTAGACTATTTCTGCTATCTCCTAATGTAGGCACAATAGACTAAAACAGAGCTGGAATCCAAGTGAGATCTTTTACGTGACCCGCCCTTTTAATTTACAGCCTTAACAACGCAGTATTTCGACTATCACTGTTATCAGCGTCCTCATCGGCGGGATCTGACAAGAATGTTAGATAATGTCAAATAGATAATAAGAATCAGTATTTATTGTTAATCTTTGTGCATTCCGTCATTTCAAGCACGCTTGCTACTGCTCCGCGGAAGACTAGAATCATGGCCTAGCTCAACAGATTGAAATAAAAAGAATAGCTACTCAACATTATTACTTACAGTTGTTTAATCGTTGCATTTTTTGCAGGTTATTGTGATCATAACCCTTGCCAGAACGGCGGAACCTGTTTACTGGAGGAAGATACCTATACCTGTGCCTGTGCCGCTGGCTACAATGGTACAAACTGCACAATGAGTAAGGCGGTTTCCCAATAGAGTTGTGGCTGATTAAAGCGTAAAAGGCAGCAAAATATTTTGAATTCGATCCTGATATAGATGCATTTCGTGCACTTCGCTGATATGCCTTTTTGAATAAAACTTAGCTGTGCACCATTATATTTTTATTTTATAGACATGGATGATTGTTATCCTAATCCTTGCGAAAACAGAGGAAACTGCACTGATGCAATAAATGACTATAACTGCACCTGTATGGCTGGCTACGATGGCAAGAACTGTTCAGAAAGTATGACCGTTTACAATTTTTATTCTTCGCACTAGTTATCTGTGACTTAGGATGATCTTACTGCTAAATGACTTTACACTTAGAACCTTTAAACTTCGAAGTATGTCATCACTTTATTAACCTATGACACAATTATTAACCTATGACACTCGTTTTAGAGATCAAGGTTATAAAGTCTATGTTTTACATTCTTCGCTTTCACCTCAGTAGATGACACAGTCATCTAAATAGAATGTGGGATTTATTTCCCTCTTGTGGGGATAGTCTTTTATTTGTTTCGGGGTGGCAACATTGAGATGTTAAATTTTTATTTGTGTTTTACAGATATCAACTATTGTGATCCCGAACCTTGTGAAAATAATGCAACTTGCACTGTTGAAGTGAATGGCTATACTTGTACGTGTATGCCCGACTACGATGGCAAGAACTGTTCCCAAAGTATGAAAGATATTTTTCCTGTTAGTTAACCACATTGTAGACAATAAGATTAGTTACTTAGGATTTTGAAGCCTTTTACCTTCGATTTTTTATGGTACATGAAAGAAACGCGATTGTCCTAAGGAGTTAGAATCTCTTTTCTCCTCTTTTACGAAACTTATGTTTGGATATATACACTGGATTTCCAGTGAGTTTTTAAGTTGTTTGCAATCATTTGTGTTTTTTCAGAGATCGATGACTGTAACCCCGATCCTTGCGAAAACGGTGCCACCTGTACTGATAATGTAAACGACTTTACTTGTACCTGTGTGGCTGGCTACGATGGCAAGAACTGTTCTCAAAGTATGATAGCTATATATCGATCTCTTTTCTTCAAGATTACTTAATTCTATAGAGAATAAGATTACATCCACGCGGATCTACTTGCATTTCCATGGCTGGCTGCCATAGCAATAACTGTTCGCAAAGTATGAGACATTATTTTCTGACTAGTCCATTAAGTTATAAAAAGCAATCTACAATTGAAACATTTTCCTTCTAGTTCATTTAATTAAAGACTAGACCTGCACCTGTATGGCTGGCTACGATGATAAGGACTGCGATCATAGTATGATAGATTTTCTATTAGAGTTCCCTCATTTGATAATATTTTTGACTGAAAAACGTTGACGTTTGTCTGCCTGGAAAGCAACCCTTTACACTGCATTTATGCACTCCATTTGGTTTGTACTCCATTTGGTTTGCAACTTTCTGACGACAAATAGGAAAACTTGATTCATGAAACAAGTACATCTGTTTTTCAGATATCGATGACTGTGACCCTAATCCTTGCGAAAACGGAGCAACTTGTATCGATGGAGTAAATGACTATAATTGTACTTGTGTCGCTGGCTACGATGGCAAGAACTGTACCCAAGGTATAATCAATTTCCATGAACATTCTACTCCCTCTTTTGTATGCTAAACTTTGACTAATTGTAGAGTAAGAGGTTAAGTATCCTTAAGAGTAGATTTGGCTCTTAGTTTATCAAGATTCAAGCAAATTCAGGTGATGGTCTCGCATTGAATTTGAAGGGAAATGACTCAAATTTGGAAACCAGAATTAAAGCTTTCCAAACGATTTTGTGTTTTCTAAATGGCACATTTTTAGATAAACAAATGGTTTTTCTCTGCATTTTTTGCAAAAACTTGAAAACAATCCAATTTTTCTGAAAAACTTTTAAACATATTCAAAACATATATTTTTCTCTGCAAATATTAGTGTTTCCTTAGGAAACAATGTGTTTATAGTCAACCATGAAAAGAACCAGAGGAAATTGGTCTATACTCTAAAAATAGTCAGTCAGTAGATGTTGAAGGAATTCTGCAACCTCCCAAACACCAGCTGGGTGTCGCAGAAATTCTGCGACCTCTCATATACTGGATGTCAGCCACTCATTTTTGGGGTGTCGCAGAAATTCTACGACCACTTATACACTGGATGCCACAAAAGTTTTGCAGCCACTCACACACTGGATGTCAGCAACCTCTCATTTTCATGGGTGTTGCAGAATTTCTGCTACCACTGATACACTGCATGTTGCTGAAATTGATCTGCAACCACTCATACACTATACGTTGCAGAATTTTCCAAACACTCATCCCCTTGATGTCACAGAAATTCTTCCAACATTCACTCACTGGATGACACAGAGATTCTGCGTCCTCTCATTTCCTAAATGTTGTGGAAACTCACTCATTGCGTGATAGATACAGGAATATAGCGGTCTTTCAGCCAGCTATTAATTAACAGATGCCACAAACATTCAGTCACTTAACCTTTAATAGAAATTATGTACCTAATATATCAAATGGCTTAATGTCACATGACAAATTGTTTATAATGCTTTGCCAAATGCATTTCAACCGGAAAGGAATATTCTCCATTTTAAGAGACATTCAAAGGCATCGTAATGGTTTTCGCAAAAGACAAAATTGGCTTTTTGCTTTCTACACTACCATTTAAGACTGAAAACACGACCCCATAGCTGTACCGCGTAACTGTTTATAGTGTTCACCGGAAAAGGTTTCAGGAAGACGATACATTCACCGCAGTACAACGACGAAATTGACGCGTTCCACCTACACTACGACGAGCACAGTCGGTGTGCAACACGACAGACAACTTATCCGACAAGAAAAAATACCTTGACCGTGCCTTTTCAAAGAACAACTGCAACAACGACTTCATCCGACGATTGCGTAAGCCATGGAAACGACAGAAGGAACAATTATAGAACCACGCGCTCAACAAGTTTTTCTTGTTGTTATTATAAAAGGAACTCGATAAGTTTTCTCACAAACCCACGAGAAGGCAAAGAATACCACAACAGCAGTAGCTTTAGCCACTTTTTTACAGTAAAAATAGAAAAAGGGTACTGTCGCCCAGAGCACCTAAGCCGCTGCTTTGGAAGAGGTATATTGACGACGTTTTCTGTTTGTGGAACAGCACCAAAGAAAAAATAGAAGAACTTGCGAGACAGGCAAACGACAACTGTACAATGTACCACGATACAATCGCCATTCAAACAAAAGTGTACGAAAGCGATAGGTTTAATAGCGTATCGACCCTTGACGTCCAAACTTATCACAAATATAGAAGATGACCTTCGAATAACTGAATTTTTATCCGTGTCATTAACCAGGCACAAAGAAAAGATAGTAAGAGAAGAAGGAGCACTAAGCTTCCTTCTTCCAAACCGGCAGTCTAAATCCCACAGGGATCAACGAACGCTTTTCATTCCTCTTATTTATTCTTGTTTTTCTCGTTGCCATGTTCCCACCAATAACGTAGCTCCATTCTCTGCCTTTAAAAGCACACACAACCCACAATTCCTCTCTTCGCTCCGACGAAGGGCTAACACTCGAAACGTCAGCTTTTGTAATCGTTACGGTGGCCAATTTACCGCTTCAACTTTGTTGATATATCCAAATTATTTCGTTACTCCCACCGACGCAGCCCCAAACAGTTTCTTTCGAAACTATCAGCCTTTATTCCTATGAGTAGATTCGTCATGTTCCACGCGGTTTAATGAAAACATGGTGTTTCAAAATTGCTTAAAGAATAGAGGTTACCGAGATGAAATTTTGGGGTAATGTATCTCTGAATTTTATTTCACCGGGAGTGAAAGTTTCACTCAAATACTCACATGGGATTAGGAGTGCAATCGATT